TGGTGGGGAGCGCCATGGCCGCCGCGCTGGGTAAGGCTGTGACCTTCTCGCCGCCTCCGGCCGGCGTCATGGCCGCACAGCCTTTAGAAGTCGACCTTCATTATTAGTCCGTGTGGGTGATGGTGCGAGATAACTGCGTAGTTACCACTGTCGTGGAATTTCCTTATTCCTGTATCCGCTTGTGACAGCGCTCGGAAGCTGACTTAAAGCTGTTTGGATAACTGATAAATATGATGAGCCCTATTTATATCTGTGTGTCTATCTCTATGTTAATAACTTTAAATTCTCTAATTTACTCATAGTGTTTCTGCCATGGTCACCCTTAAGTCTCTAAGTGGATAATTTCAGCCATAGTTGAAATTGCTTTTCTGATCCTAAGTTTCTCATAATTTCAGCCATAGTTGAAAATGTTTTTCTGATCCTAATTTTCATTCTCTAACCCTGTACTTTAAACACTGGAATGCCAAATTAAAGTGGATTTGTGTCTGGGTTGTATCACTGGAGACCCTGAGAATCCTGGCTGCTTCTTGGTATGCAGCATTGTTTCAGAAGGATGTAATAGTGACAGAAGCCTAAAGAAAAAGAGAGCAAAGAAGAAAGATCTTGAGCAATAAGTGCTTTGCAAGTATAAGGGTTGACTTTGCAAACTTATCGTTCTTCTGCTTGTATTGTTAAACAATACAGTGTAATTGAGACAGCATAAGGATCCCCTGTAGCAGTGATACCTAAGGCTAATGTGCAGGTTGGGACCTTTAAAGAAACAAGATTATATTATGCCTAAGCTAGAAAAACATGTTCAGGATACTGCTGTTAATAAGACTGCTGTAGTAGTAAATTTTGGATGTTACAAAGACACCATTTCTGGTCTTGGTATCTTGTGCAGCCATGGTGGTCAGATGCCACAAGTGTGGCTAATCTGGCTGTAGTGTGATTTACTCCTTGCTTGAGTCATGTCGTGTTTTGGTTGGTTGGTTGGTTTTTCCCAGTTCTCTTTAACTGAAAGCTTAAGTCTGAACTGCCTGTGCTATTCCACTGTCAGATTATAAGGATAAAGAAAACACAAATATAGTTGCTAAGTGTCACAGGAGGTTTATTTTGATCTGTTGTTCTAATAAGTAAATTTATGTGTAAGCACTGAAAAACATGTTCTGTGTGTGGAGTAAATGTTGTAGGTTTCACTCATTAATATTTCAGTCATTAAGTTTTATAACAAAATAAGTGCAAATTTATGCAAAAGTGTAAACTTTGTACACAAGTAAAACATTTAATTCCTTGCTTTAACTGCAGAAGAGTTGTCTATCTCAGTAACAGGACTGTAGTCATAAAGCTTTAAAATACAAAAGTTTACCTGCCAGGCCAAAACCTGTATTTTAAATGCACTCCTTTATTAAGTTTTGCATCTACCCTATCATATTACTAAAATGTATAGGCATTACTGAAACAGAAGTGAGGGACAAGATGCTTGGAAGCAGCATTGTAACAAAGTGTATATTTGCTTGGTTTAGGGCATGATATCCACTTCTGTGATAAGAAGATTGCTTTGCTGGAGGCTGGTCCCAGGAGAGACTATGATGGGATGCCAGACCGCTACAGTAACAGAGTCAGTTCCATCTCCCCAGGATCAGCAACCCTCCTAAACAGTAAGCATGTTTCCTGTTTGTGTTTGTAATAGTGGGTTTGAGCTGGTTTCATTCTGTTTAAGCAAAACTCCTTGGAGCATGTGCTGCCTTTTATCTGAAATGCAGCAGACTGTTTGCCTTTGTCTCTTAGCATTCCATCTGCTGAGCTGTGGTGATTAAATCAGGCTTTTCTTGATAACAGATCTGTGTTCTGGTATCTTGGTCAGGCTTGTTACATAAATATTTGGGACATTAGCCTAGTGAAAGGTTGAAAGGTGCTCTCTGCAGCATCTGGAACATTCTGTCCACAAAAGAAGTGTGTACTTAGTGCTGTGTAGTCTGGTAACTCATCTGATTAATTTACCTTTTAAAGAGAGATTTGAGCCTTGATTCCTTAAGGAGAAAACAATGTTCTAAAAAAATGACAGCTGTGTGTTTTCTCTCTGTGATAGGACAGTGATAGCAGCCTGTTAAGTCACAGCATTCATGGAAAACTTTTTTCTTTTCTGCTGGCGTGTGTTAACAGGAAGATAACGTGATGTTGGAGCTGTGAAAGTGTTGAATCAGACCTGGCCCTGTCTAGGGATGGTGCAAGCAGAATCTGGGCACTGGTAGCCAGGGAGTGTGGGGAAGAGTGTGGAATGAACTTGAATTTTGTTTTGAGTCTCAATGTCACATGTGAACCTATATCTCCATGCATTTGTGTCCTTTCTCTCTCTCAGGTTTTGGTGCCTGGGATCATGTCTGCAGCCTGCGACTCAAACCGTTCCGACGAATGCAGGTGCTTTATTTAGGGCTGCAAATATACTGTCTGTCTGCTTTGAATTCTCATAAGTACTTACATTAATGATCCAAAGTTTGTTTTCTTTGGCAAAGGGCAGGTCATGCTTATGATGATTTCTGGTACTTTTTTTGGGGGAGTATCAGTCTTCTCAGAAATACCTATCCTCGGAGTCTTGATGTTACAGGATGAAAGGCTGATTCCTGATGGAAGCTGTAGATGTTGAGGCATGGGTACTAGTCAGGAAAGACAAAAATAAAGGTAAAGGTGCATATTTGGTTTGGCTGGGATAGAGTTCATTTTCTTCGTAACAACTTGTATGGTGCTGTAGTTTGGATTTGTGCTGAAAACTGTTGATGCCACAGGGATGTTTTAGCTGTTGCTGAGCAGAGCTTACAGAGAGTCAAGGCCTTTTCTGCTCCTCACGCCACTCCACCAGCGAATAGGTTGGGAGTGCACGAGAAGCTGGGAGGGGACACAGCTGGGACAGCTGACCCAAGGGATATCCCAGACCGTATGATACCATGCTCAGCATATAAAGCTGAGGGAAAGGAGGAGGAAGGGGGGACATTCAGAGTTGGGGTGTTTGTCTTCCCAAGTAACTGTGACATGCGACAGAGCCCGGCTTTCCTGGAGGTGGCTGAACAACACCCGCCTGTTGATGGGATGTGGATGAATTCCTTGGTTTGCTTTGGTTGTGCATGCAGCTTTTGCTTTACCTATTAAACTGTCTTTATCTCAAGCCAAGAGTTTTCTTACTTTTACCCTTCTGATTCTGTCCCTCATCCTGACACAGGAGAGTGAATGAGCAGCTACGTGGTGCTGAGCTGCTGGCTGGGGCTACTCCACAACAAGGTGTAGCTTTATATATTAATATATTTATAATATTTATATTAATATTTAACAGGAAAGTAGAGATAAAAAACTTTCTTTGCAATTAGTTTTTGAGATGAAGCATATGAAAGGAATTATGTGATGTGCTTCAGTAGCTGGGAATGGATGGTAATCCAGGACGTGTTCTCTGGTTCTGTGTTTCCAGATTGCCACATCCTTTTCATGTGTAAGCTGGATATATTCATAGTCCCTGGAAGGAACAGCACTTCTTTATCATGTAGCATCGTGTAATGTATTTTTCCTTTGTAGGTGTGGGATGCTTGTTCAGAAGCCATGATCGTTTTTGAGAAAGATGACTTAGATGACATGGGTTACATAGTGGAGAATGATGTCATTATGTCTGCTCTCACAAAACAGTTAGATGCAGTAGCAGGTAGTGGACAACTTCTTTAATATTTTATTTCCTGTAGAGGGCCTTCAGTTACTTGCCTTCTGTTGTGTGTGCTAAGTTATGAGAGAGAAAGATAATTCATCTAACCAGTAACTCTGAGACAGTTTCTTGAATTGGGTGGGGAGGGAGAAATCTGTCTTCCAAAGGCTACAGAGCAAGAAAATGGTTCTCTGTGTAGTTCTCCAGGGTTGGCCGGACCTGTCTTTCAGGATGCCTTGAGAAGTGTAGGGTCAGCTCTCAGGGTGCCATCAAGACACGCATGGCCTTTGCTGTTGTAGTGATGTTTCCTTCTTTTGCGTGTGGATCATGCTATGACCGTGGTACTTTGTGTTCCCATCAGACCAAGTGGAGGTTTTCTACAGGAGCAGAGCAGTCGGGTATACCTGGCCCCTTCCCTCTCACGACACAAGCCCTTGGGTCCAAATTGAGTTAGCTGATGGACGCAGACTTCAGACCAAACTGCTGGTAACTAAACTTTTTATTTCTGTTGATCAGGCATCATCTCTCACCCAAGTCCTTTCCACTGGATTTGGTTCTGATTCTGTGTGTGCTGCCACACCCACGTGGAGGGCTTGAGTGAGGTGAGTGGGTGATTCTGCCAGTGGTGCTGTGGGACACAATGCACAGCCTTTTCTGCACCTGAGACCAAAGACTGTGCTGAATTGGCCAGGAGCAGCAGGGGCCACCTCTTCTACTAGCTTTGGGGAAATCTTTCTTTCTTTAGTTTTTTTTTTCCTGAATAAGCAAAAAAGTGTGTATGTGCAGGCTGAGGATTGTGTACTGGGATATTTTCTTTCTGTGGAGCTGCTGAAGAGGTTGCTTTGTGTCTCTGCTCTGCAGATTGGTGCGGATGGTCATAACTCTGTGGTCCGGAAGGAAGCTGAAATTAAGAACATTGAGCATCAGTATGACCAGTCAGCTGTAGTGGCAACTCTTCATTTGTCCGAGGTGAAATTCTGCCAGTTGACTCTTCCAGAAGCAGCAGGACAGCTTAAGGAGGTGACCCAGGTCACTAGTTAGTAACTGCCCGCTTGCTTCTTTCCGCTATAGGCCACAGACAATAACGTCGCTTGGCAGAGGTTCCTTCCCACAGGGCCGATCGCGCTGCTTCCGGTAAGATGTGTTGTGGTTTCTGTATTTTAAACGTTATATTTATAATTTTAAAAAAATATTTTCTTCTGATCTAGAAAATTTATTTATACCTGTGCCTTTCTGTGTTGTTCTGTCTCAAGAACTTGTCCATCTGCCCTTTTCAGTTACTGCATTTGTATTCCCCTCCTGCCCTCTCACTTTATCTTTGGTATTTCCTACTTGTAGCAAGTTGGGCTGGAAGAGTAATGTGCAGAGGGACTGAGGCAGGACAGAGCAGTGGGGAAATCTTTGCATTGTTTGCTTATTTTTGCTTCTTTTTCTCTTGATACTTACCCTTGACATTCTCTGAAACCAGCTTTCCGACACTGCCAGCTCTCTGGTCTGGTCTACATCCCATGAACATGCATCAGAGCTTCTCGCTATGGATGAGGAAAGTTTTGTGGACAGCATCAACTCTGCCTTCGTGAGTATCAGCCTTGTGGTGGGTATGAGACTGACTTTGTTGTAATCACAAGAAACAGAGTGAAACCTTACAGCTTAAAGGAGAGGTGGATTCTCAAGTTCACTCCTCTGGTGAGGATGATATTAAAAAGGCACTTAACAAAGAGAGGATGACCCCTTGGGACTGAATTAGGGTAGTTCTGAAAGTCACAGAAGTTGAACTAAATTTCCAAAAGATGGAAAGGGTAGGGTCATCCTAGCTGAGAAATTGTACGTCCTAAAGCAACAAGGATAGTTTCTTCTACTGTATAGTTTGGCCCAAGTGGTTAAAATACAGTATTTGGAGCTCATTCAGTTTTTTTTCAGCTGTATTCTTTTATATGTCTAGTTTGAGTTAACGTCTAAAGATCTGTTGTTATTTTTCAGTGGAGCAACGTAAACCACTCTGACTTCATCAATACTGCTGGGGCCATGTTTCGATCTGCAATTTCACTCCTGAAGCCCTCGGGGACTGGGGTCCGTCAGCTGCCCCCAAGCGTTGCTAAAGTAGATCCAGAGAGCCGAGCCATGTTCCCTCTTGGGTTGGGGCATGCAACGGAGTACGTCCATCACCGTGTGGCTCTTATTGGGTGAGGTCCCCAGGGGCAGCCCTTGCGTGAGCGCATGGCGCGTGTTCAGACGTGACGCAAGTGTGGCGACTCCAGGCAACAGATTAGATGGTTAGAAGTAATTTATTGTTTGACTTTATCCAGGCCCAGTTTGTACCCTGTGCTCTTGGGCCAACAAAGTCCTTTTGTATGGGTAGATCTTTGTCCATTGTGTGTGTTTTCTATGTAAATTGCAATTTAATAATTTCCCTTTTCTGTTTTGTGTAGTCCAGTGAAACAGTCCCGTATCTCATGCTGGGCCTGTACTTCCCCAAACATTGTAGCAGCCATTCTGTGTACCAGTTTGAGTTTTAAATGCACCTTTCTTGAACAGAAATGACAAAACTTACAAGTTATTATGGTTGGGATGTCATAGGCTTTTGTATGGTGGACTGTAGAAATAGGAAAATACCTCATCTCTTACATTCTAAGGTTGCATGTACTCATTTTTTCTGCCACAGCTGCAAGACACTGGTAGCTTATAGTAATTCTTAGATGCCGTATTACAGTTCAGGTATTTTTTCTTTTCATCTTGTGAGCCACTCTGTGCTTTATAGCTTGTTAAAGCACATGATCTTACATTTCATATCCAAACTTCATTTCATTTCTGTAAATCTTTGACTCTCACATGTCTGGCTTTGTCCTTTACAGGTAAGTCTGCTCTTAAAAGAACCTGATTCTGTTCCTATTCAGTGATATCCCACTTGTCCTTTTTAGTCATGATGTCTGTCTACTTTGTGAAATGTGCCAGTGACGTACCTCCTGTTGTGCCAAGGTCACTTATAAAACAAAACAAGGCCAGTTTCACTTGTGATCTGAGAGAGGGCTTTGTCTAGCTAGCCCTATAATTCAGAACTGCTTTTACCTCCCCTTTGTCTGTCTTCTCCCAACGGGAGGGCAGTCGGGTGGGGCAGCGCAGTGCAGGAGGCGCTGGACAGAGTGTGTGTGTTGGTGGAAGGTGGTGCTCACTGCAGAGGTGAGGGGCGCTGCTCCGACGCCTTCTGTGCCTTCTCAGCCGTTACGGCTTTCTGCAGGAAGGGATATAGATTTCTTTCTTCTCTTGCTCCAGGGATGCAGCACACAGAGTCCACCCACTTGCAGGACAAGGTGTAAACCTGGGCTTTGGTGACATTGCATGTTTAGCTCGTCACCTCAGTGCTGCGGCCTTCAATGGGAGCGATCTGGGTAAGAATCCAAGACAATGAAGTGGCAGTAGGATGACTGATCTCAAAACCCTGTGCTGCTAACAACAGGACAAGCATGGCCTGTCTCGCAGGTTAAGCATGCTGCTGTCTTGTGTTTCAAAGCACAAACACCTTTGAAGGAAAGCTGTTCTGATGTCCATTTGCTGTGGGGCAGTTAAAGATTCTTGGTGCAGTTTCCATCACACAAATCTCAAAGCTGCTTTAAAAGAAAAAAGTTCTGCAGGGTGATAGTTAAAAGAGCTGGTTAGGTGAAGAGCACTAGCTGATGGAAGGAGGCCTTTATTGAGACAGACCATTTCCCTGTTCTCTTTCTGTTTTCAGATGTGGGTGGAGACTGTTATATAGGTAAGATGCACAATTGTTTGTGACGCATCGATTTTAATAGAAGTGTTTAATTATCTCTTCCAGGCTCCTTAAAACATCTCTTAAGGTTTGAGACAGAACGTCAGAGGCACAATGTCTCTTTGATAGCTGCTACAGATGTGCTAAAGAGGCTTTACTCCACGAGGCTGGCTCCCTTGGTGTTGCTGAGGACGTGGGGATTGCAAGCAACAAATGCCCTGCCTCCTGTGAAAGTAAGAATCTCACTGAAGTGAGGGTGTAGGAAGAGTCCAGAACTATTCATGTCCTGAATGAGCCTGAGGAGTTTCTAAGTAACTGGCAGCTCAGTAGTAACTGTTTTCTGCTGCAGCACAAGGGAGGATAAGGGAGGGACCCAAGGGTTTATCCTCTGCGTCAGCAGTTATAGGTTAGAAGTAATCAGCTTTATTTTGCTGTGGAATGAAAACTTGGAACCTTGAACTGCATTCCAGAAACACACTGTGAAAAAACAGCCCTATGAAGACACATCTTCACTAAGAGTAGGACATCAGGTGACTTTGACAGATGTAGTGTGCAGCTCAAACAAGTTACCCTTTTCTGTCCTGTTTTGCCTTGTGAAATTACTTCCCCATGGCTGAAGTGCAAGTCTCCCTAATGGAAATTACCTGCAGATGGCAGTGGTGAGGAGGTTCAGTCTCAAACACAGACCCTCTCTTTGCAGCCTATCTGCCTAAATTTTGCACTGTCTTAGCCTAGTTGCTGGGTTTTCCTGAGGTTCCTTAAGCCACCTGCTCTCTAAGTTCCCAAGCACTCTTAAATTAGATTACCCATTTCTGGATTTGAATGTTTTATTCCAAAAATTCAAGTCATGTTTTTCCTGTTAAACACAGGTGGCCCATTTCCTTTGTGTTATGGTCACAGTTAAGACACTTCCTGAATTGAAGAGCAGTAAATTTCTAAGGCATAGTAGCTGCTGCTGGCAAGGTGTCTGATTTAGTTGCACTCAAAAGAGGACTAAACTGCTGCCTCGGTGCTGAGAACTTTTGTCTGTTTATAGCAGAAAACCAAACAAAGACCTCTTCTCTGAGCACAGAACCTATTGGTAGCTACTTGGAAGGAAAGGAATGCTGCAGGTTCTTTAATTTTCTATCACACAGGGAAGGGTGCTCTGCCCTTGGCTGGAAAGGCTCACAGAGAATTGTTGCCCATACATATAAAAGAGAAGGAGACTACAGCTACTTTCTAGCATGTATGCTTATTACCAGTTTGCAAGTTACTTACCTTTTTCTTCTTCCCTTTTAGGAGCAAATTATGGCTTTTGCCAGCAAGTGATCTGTTATCAGTTTGGAACAGCAGTTTGCTAGTGAGTGCATTGCCTGTATAAGGACTGTGACTGACCTGAATCTTTGAATTGTATTATTTTCATTTAACAATAAATCTGAGGGGTTAACTGTGTATACAGCACCCGCTGGTTTATGCAGAAGTTTTCTTACCTCCAGAGGATTTAGGGCATCCTTCTATAGTACCATGATCTCTTCAATCACACAACTATCTCTACAGTGTGCTTTTAATTTGGGCCTTTTCAATTGAAGACTGAGGTGGAAACAGCTGTCTGTCTTTTGGCAAACAGTGGTGAATTTTGCCAGCTACAACTGTTGTTGCTTAATTGCTTAGCTTCCTCTGATGTGGTTTCTGTAATGTCACTCCTGGGTTCTTAGCTCTTCCTGGACTCAGAAAGGAGGGGTAGTTTCAGCAGAGGAAGACAGCTCATGGGGGCAGACATATATTAAAGCTCTCATCTGTCTCTCAATCTTTTCCCTGCCCTTCTCTTGGTGCTTTATTTAATACTGGTGATCTTAAGGGCCCCATGAAAACGAGATGCAAGACAACAATATCTAGGAAAGAAAACTGCACCACAACATCTTGAATGTTGTTAAAAATGCTTTAATTACTAAAATAGACATTCAAGATAATCTGTTTTAGGTTCCAAACACCGGCTTCCTGCATTACACATTTAACACTCGCATTACAAAAACACATCTTTACCTTAAGAGTACTGCCCACAGGCAAGATTTACACATAGGTTGACTAGTATCAGGAACTGACATCAGAAAGAACAAAGTGTAAGTTTTGAACTGAAAGCCATTGCTTGTGCTTCTTCAGTCACTCCTATTAGGACTGGCTAAACCACATTACAAAGGAGGAGATAAAAGTCAAGGCTGCAAGAAGAACACTTCTCTTAAAAGGCTGCTTAAGTCTTTAGTTAAGCTAATAAATAATCTCATTGCACTAGGGTAAGTGTAAGGACTGGCTTATCTAGATCCCCCACCCACCCTGAGTAGTTCAGATGTAAACAGCAGGGGCTCAAATCTGCAATTTCTTGCAAAAGAAAACTTTGAGCAGAGATACTGTTTCTCTCATGACGGCAGGATCAGGCCCCTGATAGCAGCAGTTTTGCTTCAGGTAATGAATTGTGCCACTGACAAAAGGAAGGCCCTGAGCATTCAGATTTAATGCAGCTTTGGTACTGAGAAGCGGATGCTCCTACCTAGCATTCGTAGTACCACAGTCTGAGGCAGAGAACATGGGAAGAAACTTCCTTTGCGTGGTACCTGTCATGTTCTAGACCATCCTCCTTTTGTCATAGCACTGGCTCAGCCTGAAAAGACAACTTTTGGATTATTAGCTAGCTTTCAGGAGTGACGCAGCCCAGCCAGTAACCACTGCTCCCTACAGTGTGCTCTCTGAGAATGCAAAAGCGAACGCAGTTGTTCACTGAAGACAAAATGAATGCGTGTGCAGTCACCTGGTGCAGAGCAGACCACGTACTAAGTTTTGCCAAACACTAGGAAGGAGAGTAAGATATGCCACAACTACGTTCTTCATGTTCCAACAGAAGCTCCTAGTGAGGAAGGAACAAAAGTTTGGAGGAATTTGAGGAATCTTCCAGAACACAGGTAGGGCAAGCATTTTGTATTTCAGAGAAACAGCCTCAATTTACAGCAAGGTGTCAGTGGTAGGACAAGTATGGGTAGCTCCATCCACAAACCTGTTGCTGGCTGAATTTGTGTAATCAACAGCAGTACACCTTGCACCCTAGCACCATAAAACCTGAGATACAAGAAGGATACTTTAGCCACAGTCTAACTTGCACTGTGAACTAGAGGAAGTGGGCTAATGTTCACAGTAAGGCAACGTTCTAAGTGCCCAAACTGCTCGGCGAGACCAGTGAGGGCATGAGTGTGCTACTTCCTCCCCTGGCTGGGGATTACCCATTCCTGTCAAATCCAGTTTGCAGAGAAGGTAGTGTGAGGGCAGTCTTTGGTTTTACAGAGGTGGGAAAGGTGTTACAGCAAATAGGTAACTGCAAATGCCTGAAAGGAAAGTGTCCATCACAAGAGAACAGTGAACAAAAGCTTCCCCTAGTCACGTGGGTAATACCTCTGTTCTTATAACTGGGAAAACACATCTTTACCTTACATGTTCCATGGTAAGTAGAAGGTATTAATTTTTCATGAGCTAGATGCCAGCTATTTAATGGGGTGGAAAAAATTTTCTTAAGAGCTATTTCTACTTAGGACAATGCAAGGCCCATACATGGAGCCTCATAATACTTGAGCAATCCTGATGCTCTCTACAGCCAATTAAACAAACAAACAAAAAAAACACAACAGGATCCTACAGCCCAGCTTTCTAGCCTATCTGACAAGATGCTTTATTTAGAATATTGATCTTTAATTTCTCTATATATTTGGTGTAAAAGAGATAGCAAGATCCACTTTACATTGTTATCCAGATAGCTTCATGCTATCCTGACAGAAATCTTGAGCTTCCTAAACAGCTGCAACCCTGTCATTGGATGCACTGTTCCAAAAGACCTGCTGTATATATTAAAAATAATTCCACAGCAGTGCAGAGCTGCACACATTTTATGGCTCCCACTCCACTATATTAAAGAGAAATTAAGTCTAAAACAGTTTAAAATGAGCAAGGGATAAGCCAACAGGGATAAGAAAGCAAAGCTACTTCTGTTCTAGTTCTGCCCATTTCTGATGCTAATTCTGCTCTCTCCCTATTTTCATCTACCGAACAACTGAAAAAACAACTTGTTTCACCACAGCTTGGCATTCAGACGAGGTTCCAAAGGTAGGTGCAGGAAGCAGTAAACTCAGACTTTCAGCTGGGAAACCATATCTTAGAGCTTACTCTGACAAAAGGGGCTGTGCTGTTCTAACAGCTTGCTGGCCCAGCAGGTCTCCAGGCCGTGCAATGCCCGTTTCCCTCGTGCTAGCACCAGACTTAGCTCTTTGGTGAGCTGATTTAACCCAAGTTTGGTGTCGTGTCCACCAAAGAACCTGAGGAGTACCAGCATGGGAGGAAAGGCAGCTGTGGGAGTGCCTCGCTGAGCAGAGCAGCAGAAGTGGCTCTCACAGCAGAGAGCTGTCGGATCAGCCATTTCCTCTGACTGCACCCTTAATGGCCTTGTGGGAGTAACGTGACAAGCACTTCTTTTGGCAGTAGAGTTGAAATAGCTGACACTGCTGCCTAGTTGTGCTGCATAGCTATGTGTTATAACTACATGCTAAATTAATCAAATCATCAGGCCTGGTAGCCAGATGTACACCAAAGCTGCCCAGGCTTGTAATGGGCAGCAGAAGGGAACATAGACAGGTACACATTCTGCTTAGGAAGTGACTGCTGCCTAAAGAAATGCTTGCTAAGTTACAGCCTATGTTTTAGTCAACACCTTTCCCAAAACCATGCGAAAGTGTGCTTACAGTAGGCCCCTTCTTGAAAGACTGGAGTCTTATGTACTTACTTGCAATGTACTAGGTAAGCCAACAGCTGGGTCCTTGGAGCGCTGAGGCTGGCAGCAACCAGAGTTGTTCACTTTTCTCTGAATGACTGTTAATGTCATCTTTAATTTCTGTATTTAGCATCTCACAAGCAAACTTACGTATGTTTAAAACAAAGAGGAGAGGGGAAGTCACGTGTCTGTCTGCCAGCACGTGCCAGGTACTCTGTGCTTCGAGCAATGGCATGCTACGCAAACGTGCTGGTGGAAGCTGGCTTTGAGCCCCTTGCAGATACTCTGCTAGAGCACAGGCCTTTTGGCTTTCAGAAGGCAGCTTCTGGATCACTTATGGCAATTACAATTATCAATCATACTGCAGCAACTCTCATTAGGCATGACACCAATCCAGGGTGAAGATGTGTTCTATAGTTTTGGTCCATGTTCTGCTCTGTGACAAACTCCAGCTGAACAACATACCTGGAGATTTCAACTTGCTTTCTCAGCCTTTCAGAAATGCTGAAGTCCACAGGAATGTCACAGCTCAATAGGTTATCCCTAGAGACTGCAGCAGGTGAAAGGTAGCACCCAAAGTCCAGCTTGTCTCTATGTTGTTCACTTTCTTTGTTAGCTATAAAGGAAAAAAAGTTGTTCCCAACAGTTCTCTTGATTCATATGGTGCACAGATGACAGCAACTACATGTAACAATGCTGGAAAGACTCAGTGGATAATTAGCCAGAAAAAGGAACTAAGGCATGTTGATTGATACAGAAATTGGCAAGCTAGCTTTGGGATTTAACCATTTTTCTCACCTGTAAGAGCGTGTTGTCCCTAAATCCAAAACCTTCCTTTAGTAAAGCAGTGATGTAAGTGAGATCCATGCAGAGGAAAGGACTGGATGAGCTGTACCTCTCCATGTTATTACAGACTAGAGAAGGAGGAAAGAAAAAAATCTCAGCAAAATAAGAGCTTTTTTTATCCACATTGTACATCCAAAATGACCTCAAGCCAAAGCTTACTAAAATAAGTCACCCACTTCTGTTAACAGGTACATATGGACACATTGTACATGCTGCTCAGCTGTTTGTAATGTTGCAGAATAAACCATACAGTACTTCCAGTTCTTCCTAACTCCAGTCTAAGTACATCTTTTATTACAGCAACATAATCCACATAGCTCTTCTGAAGTCTCAATCTCTGCTCTACGGGTAACTGACAGGGAGTTGGTAGATTACTTAGTCTTTCAAGAACACAGCATCCCCTATCTTGCTTGTCTAGTCTCCAAGGATGGCTCCAGTAATGGACTCCACCTTCTAGGATGGCAGCTTTTATTTTTTTCTAACCACATCTGAGTTTCTAGGAGGATTAAGTTTAACTGCAAAATCATTAGAATTTAGGTTCTATTTAAAGAAGAAGAAAAAAAAAAAGTCAGTCCTGAAGTACAGAATGTCTACTTTTAGCCCATATCTGGGGCTAAACTACAGCAGTTGCTCTATCACCCAGTGACCCCTCCTCAGGCAAGAGGAGAGATTGGGAAAAGGAGAGGAGACCCATGGTTTGAAATAAAAATGGATTTAATGAAACAGCCAAACTAACACCAATGCCAGTATAAAGTCAACAAAGTTATAGGACTTTTTAGGATATCGAGTAACAACAGAACTAGAGGGGATGGGGCAAAGCTGGAAGTGGGCAGATTCAGGCTGGATGTGAGGAAGAAGTTCTTCCCCATGAGAGTGGTGAGACCCTGGAATGGGTTGCCCAGGGAGGGGGTTGAGGCCCCATCCCTGGGGGTCTTTAAGGCCAGGCTGGATGAGGCTCTGGGCAGCCTAATCTAGTGGGAGGTGTCCCTGCTCATGGCAGAGGGGTTGGAACTGGGTGATCCTTGTGGTCCCTTCCAACCCTGACAGATTCTGATCTGTTTTAGCAGAGGACTTTAGAGCCCTAATGGCTCAATGGTTGGACTTGATGATCTTGGAGGTCCCTTCCAACCTAAATGATTCTATGATTCTATAGTCAGCCCAGCAAGTGTACAGTGGACACGACAAGCAGGAACAAACCAGGACACACAATTCAGCACCTTCTGGTGAAATATACAGTCTACTAATCACCCTGAGGATGACTGCAATTCAGAAGCAATGTCTCACTCTTAGCCATTAGTAGCACAGCAAGGTGGGGGCTCTTTTTTCACTGGAGTAGGTACAAAACCAGAACAAGCACTCAGGAAAAAAGTCAGGGGGAGGAAAAGAAATCCAGAACAGGCTGTCAGACTTGGACAACCTCTATGGTATCTCTCCATTCTGTTAGGGATTAGAAAGGATTTCATGTCAGACTTACAGAAGTCAGTGCTCTCCTAAACTCAGAGAGTTGTATTGAGGAACTCTTGACACAGCAAATTCACTTTCTTTTGTACTGGCACTGATGAACTATTTCTTGCCTCTACTGAGCAGAACTGTGAAGCTTCTGACATTTTTCTTCCCTTCACTGCTCTACTAGTACTTCCTTCTGCAGCAGCTACAGGTGTTGGCTAATAAAAGGTACATAATATGGCACGGAATGTGTAAGTGGAATAAAGGTTAAATAAACTTTTCTTTTTTTTTTCTATTAAGATCAAACTCTTATCATGTACTGCCTGTTCATATTTCTGTCATTTCTCATCCACGTCACTTTCCCAAGTCTCATGACAATTACCTTCTTTGGCTTTTCTTTCAAAATCTCTCACTTCCAAAACACCTCCCTGTTCATAATCTGAAAAGGAAGAGATGAGAAAACATTATCATAGACCTGGAAGTATTTGAGTTATATATCTAAGCTGACCCTACAGTGCAACTTGGTGATGCTGAGCTAGGAATAAGATCTGTTGGTAGTAGAGGACAGAGCTGCAAGTATAACTGGAGCTCAGTGCAAAGTCTCATCTGCTGAACTCTGAACATCAAACAGCACTGGCAGCTATATGTTCATTCCCTGAAGGCATTTTGTGTATTTCTTCCTTCTCCACACCTCTGCTTTCCCCAGCCCTCCCTGCTCCCCATGGCTCCAGCCTCCAAGTATCCTTGGTCCACCTTCTGGTTGGCATGCTCACACGTAGTAGGTGATCCCAAACCAATTTACCAATTAGGTTGGTGTCAACTGCTCGATCATAGTAATAGGAGAAAGCATAGAAGGAACTTCCACGAATTTCATCTGGTTGGTGCAGTTTCCCTTTGACAACCTTAAGTACTTCCAAGTAGCAAGGCCTGAATCCTGTTTCTCCTGTCAGGACAAACACAGATGGGGTGAGCCAAAGAAGCGTATCCAGGAGATGGAAGAATCAGGCGCAACAGCATGAGAAAAGAAGAAGCAGAGATTAAAGGCTCCGAAGAGCTGAGAAGAGCTTAAATATCCCTCCCAAAGTTCAGCATGGCACATGCAGGCAAGGACTCTGAATCACCATCATCAAGTGGAACTGGTTAAAGCAGATCAGGGCAATATTGGAAAGGTGCTCTGTGCAGACTAGCTTGAAAAGCTTCCTCCACATCAGGCAAAACTCCCACTACTATGTTCAGCATATGTCAGCAGAATCTCATTTATATTTGCAACCACCTGCTAGACAAAACTCTTAACTTTCCTTCTTCATCACATTGTAATTTTATCAATCCTCTACACACACACCAAATTTCTAAGTCAGCTCTCGTGTAGCAAGAGATCACAGCCAGAACATGGAGAGTACAGACCAGCTATTCTTACAGCTTCAGATTTTTCTCTGTCAGAAGTCTGCATCTATGACTGGACAGGTCTCCTTCATAATGCAAAGTAACTGATGGAGTATTTGCCAAGGAAAAACTCAGATTCTGGAGACAAGTTTTCTTAGAAGAAGCAACACGTCTCCTTAGTTTACCTTCTTTGTTGCCACCATACTGGTATTTCACTCCCCCAAAGTGCCACTCTGCTTCCAGCTGCTTTGGCAAACAAGAACTGCGGAACATTTGTCCATCCACAGCTGGAACAAAACCAGAGGCAAAGAGTCAGAAAGAATAAAATTGAACACCGTTATGGATCAATATCCAGAACCAGAAAAGAAAGGCTGAAAGATCCTAATTAAGGTCTTCAAGCAAAAGTACAGAAATCTGAATTCATGGATGCTGCACAAACTGATTATGAATTATAGATTAGTCTCATTCTGGAAAGTTGTACCCATTTTGTCCTTCAGGCTGCAGAGCACCCGGGCCTGTTGTTTTTTAATAGGAGATAAATGGTAGAAGGATATCTGGATAATGGCTGCTCACCACAGAAGCCAAGAAACCAGAGAGGTAATATATCAAACACAGATACACAAACCCTAACAAACAGCAGATAACTGAGACAAAGAAAGAAAATGACCAATGAAGACAAAAATGCCTAGGATCAATGGCCACTAAAGGAACCACTGAATGTATCCTTGAAGGGTTCAACTAGAAATAATGTAAGTTGATGAGAAGAAAAAATGTTTATTGTTGCCAGTCCAAATCTCACAGAAAAAGCAGAGTTTGCAGAATGACTGAGGGGGATTGTGGGACTGCACAAAATTTACCATGGGACATTTAGGAGAAGGCTCAAAGGCAGGGAAAGGGGGAATCAAGGGATCAGGGAAGCACAAGTGTGGGAAAATGGAGGGGATTATAAAAGAAGGCAATCACACCTAGGCAGGTGGCTGGTCAGTATGCTTTTCTGGCTGAGCCCTGTGAAAAAACCACTGCAGTCTGCCCTGTCTTCTTCTTAAACCCTATTCCAAACTATTTTTGATTTGAGTACATTCCAGTAATTAAGACAAGTCTATCTAGCTAAGGATCCAGAAGGTGGAAAGATCCAAGGTCCTGGCCAGAGACTGGACAAAAAGCCCAATGTCTAGGCATGAAGACCTGAAGGACTTAAGGTCTAGGTCAGAGACAGGAAAGATGCAGGAATGTGACTGTGCATTCAGGCTAGTGAGTGAGAGTGTATGTGATTCACTCGTGACCTTCAAGTCAGTGAATACAACAGGAGGTCTGGGGGAACACAGTGGGCCAGGTGGATACCAGAGAGGCCTATAAAGTGGGTTTGGGATAAGCAGCAATCCTTAGGAAAACGACATATTCGTGTTGCTTGTGTAGATGCTTGTAAGGCTGTGAGTGTGTGGCTGGCTGTGTCTATATGGTGTTTTCTCTTCCCATGTGCTCATGTCTGGAATTTGCAATCAGTCTCACTGCTGGCTGAACCTGGAAACAGGGAAAGGCAGCCCTCTCACAAGACAACTCCTTGACAAGCAGTAGTCTGTTTCCAGAGAGATCTGTATCAGCGAGAACACAGAAAAGCGTAATATACAGAAGTAATGTCATGGGAAACAGGGTCCCGACACCAGACTAAGCCCAACCATCTCTTCAAATATCTTGGATGTTTTACCACAGGAACATACCTTCCCTATTCAAAGCTCCAAGCGTTGCTAGTCTGGCAGCTTTTAGTCCAAACCCCAAATAGCTGCAAACAACAAAGAAAAACATTACAGTTTTAATTCTGTTATGCTTCACCCACAGCCTCTTCTTAGATCTTGGAACATTCAAGCCACATTTCCTTCCTCTGCTTCCCACAAGGCTCCACTCTCTAAAACAGAGAGTTCCCTTTGCCAGAACAATTCCAAGTACCAAAAGAGTGACATAAACCCAAGAATTACAAAGAGTTGTAAAACAGGCAAATCTAAAGCTGCAGAGAGTGGTTAGAGCTGCTGTGACATTTCTACAAGACATTAATGAAAATCAAAAATGTACCATCTTAAACATGAGGGAGAAAGGAAGGGTATGTGAGCAGTGGATGGGGAATAGGATGGCCACCCTTGTGTCACACACAGCAGACTATATGCTCTTAGGGCACAACTAATGGGAAAACTGCAGAACCTCCCACTAAATGGGAGCTGTGCCTTTGTGTGAAATTCCCCTCTGACTCCACAGACTACTGCCACACTCATTACAAGCCAGGACGTGAACAACATTGACGAGGACATCATGACACACTGCTGGCTTCAGCAACACAGCCAGAGGCAGAACCTGTCAGCCCTTCACTCCCACCTCTCTGTTACTCATGTCAATACAAATGTTTACAGAATCATCGCAGTTAAATTCACCTCCATCTGCCTCATTTTTTAGGAGATGACTTTCAATCCCAATTATTTTAAGTGATGTAATGGACTGTATTGGTGAATACAGCAAACAGTTACATCAGTAAATGTAAGCAATAGGAAGACTATTAAACAAGCTTTGCTGTCAAGTAAGCATATTCTGTAACCAAGATGATAATCTTCACCCCACTAGTGAATAACAATCATGGTCATCGTCACCCCTCGCTAGGCTGAGACTAACTCTATTATAAGTGGTCAAGTTCTCATTGGACTGTAAATCACGCAGGTAAACTCTCCAAATTTCATTGCAGACATCTCAGAATGTTGTCAGCTTAACACAGTAAGCACAATTATACTATTCCAAGCCAAGTAGTCCCTCCAATTGGTTCAAGAATCTGTTGGGCTCCATGGTCTGTATCAGCTGCCTGTGATTGTCTCTCTTGCCTTTACATCAGTCTAGGTTTTACTCTTTGTTGTTGATGAGATGTGCCATTTTAAACTAAGAACTAAGAAGGAAAGTCTCAGGAAGGTCCTCTTTCCAAACCTCTGACGAGGTTTAGTTCTGACTAGTGGTACAAATTCCACCTTTCTGCTTGGTCCAGAATATTTGGCTTGAAACCGGCAATGAGAATAATTCTCCTTAAATAGTGACTCATAATGCTATCTCTTCATTTGACAAACTGACAAATATTCCCTTGCACTGATATTAACCATGATCCTGGAACATTTCCAGTCAACTAATGTCATGTTCCACTTCAACTAATGTTTCAAGCAGATGAGAAAGCTACTAAAAAAGTCATGGTCCCAACAGCTGGTAATGGGATAGCATGGCCATTTGTGGTTAACTTATGGGCTGCAGAAAGACTGATTTCCCCAGCAGAGACAGCAGCCTTTTTGCTCCTCACCTGTGGGTATAGAGCTTGTAGGTGCTATTAAACATTTCAAATGAGGTAAGAAAATCCCCAGGGGTTTCCTTCAAAGTTTCCTAAAAGTTAAGTAAAAGAAGAAATCTTTTAGTTTCTATTATGCAATAAAGAATAACCAACTTTGATGTAATATCACAGACATACCCATAGGGTTTACTGCACACTCATCTGATCTGCTTTGGAAACAGTCTTCCAATGGTGCCCACTGCTGTACTATCTCCAGCTTTTAACACTGAGTTTATTTATATGCATCTTTGTGTTACTTCAGTGTACAATGGGGAAGTGCAACAGATCAGGATGGAAATACTTTCTAATTCAGGATACCTAAATTTTTCAGCATACTTACATGCTCATCTACATGTACAGAATCCACATCAAAATCAGCTGCATTAGAAGTGCTACAAACTTCAGCATGTCAGATTAGACATTTCAGTTCAGGAATCCAGAAGAATCAAAAATGCTAAGTGAAGTATAGGCTATGTTTTCACCATGTTAAACGCCTTGCTGATACTCAAGAAAACACTGTGACCACTCACTACCAGTCTAAGGGATGCTGTACCTCCTGGTTTAAGTGCTTTCCTCCAAATTAACCTTTTGTCTAACCACCTCCAGTTTTCCTCCTTTCACAGTCTTTCCTCTTTGTGCATCCCTGCCCCACTGGTACTTAGTCCCTACCTTCTTGACAGACTAACTCTCATATTCTTGTAAATCTGAACCAGTTTAAGGCTCATTTACTGAAATTCAGTTTCTGTCTTTCCTCTGCTAGTCACCTCGTTCTCCCATTCTTTCTTGGCCCTCTGCATTCATATCAGGAACTCTCCTACCCCAGGCAAAGCAGCAAAATCTCAAGAGAGGACTGAAGATGCAGAGTCCCTGTAGTTACCATTCAAGTAACTAGATACAGCAAAAAATAAAAGGCCAAACAGAACTGGAATTGTAGAGTCCTAGACAGAAGCCTGCTAGAAGCTGAAAGAGATCTGGCAGTATTCAGCCTGACTTTATCCTGTACAAATACAAATTTAAATTTGTTTTGGGCACCAGCTAGATTTTCACTGGAATGGCAGTCACACCCTTGACCCAACACAACCAGACCCTGCCATATTTTGAGTTCTTTTCCTGACACCACAAAAGCTTTTTAAAGGGAGAAATCCTGAAAAAAAAATATATATATTTGGAGAAAACAAAAATTTAGACATCTTACACTCCTCCCAGATGAGGCAGGCATCAGACAGGCAACTTCATAATGATTATGACCAGGTTTCAGTTGTTTATAGCTTTGGCAATAATACCATGAGAGGCATACACTAGCTTAAAACGAGCTCCATGCACTTATTATATGTCCTCTGTTTGCTTGTAATCAATATTTTATTAATGAATCTCTTATTATTGCAGTATCTTGTTCAAAATTAATACAAGAGCAAATATGTGACTGCCTCAAATGGCCAGAAGGAAAAAAGAAACCTTCTGCAAATCAAAAGGGGGAAAACTCTGCTAATGCCATCAGATGGGAAAAACCCTTCAGAAACACACTGAGCTACGGCTGTGCTTTTTTCTATGTACTTGACAATACAGGCAAGAAGCAAACATAGTGTACAAGCAACACGAACCTTGGCTCCACACTGCCCTACAAATTCACAACATTGGTTTTGGTCCACAGGAGATCCTTGAGGCCTTTTCCTGCAAGGCTCTAAGGAGATGTTTGAATCCTGAGCTACAGTTCAGCCTACTTCACAGCTCTATTTCATCTCCAAAGCCCTGACATGCAACACCCCTTCCTGTTGGCCCAGCGCCCACTTCAGCAGGTGTTATCAACACAGAACAGAGGGCAAGCCCACAGTACTTGAGGCTTTGCTGAACAGGATAAGGTTGCACATCATGTTTCAACATGACCCACCACTGCACAGCTAAAATATCCTGATATAAAAGCCATGTGTTTTGTGGTCCTCAAACACCCTTTGAGAACTTCAATTTATGTAAACAAAAAAATATCAAACAAAGAACTCTTTCAGAAAGGGGAACAAAACTTCACAATACCAAGGTGTAGAATACTATAGTGCCCTGCTAATACACTTGTAATTTTCCCATGCAAACTATAGATTTGGGTCCCAGTTCAAATTGCTTCTAAAGAGGAAATCCTGTCAAGTCCACCAGAGACTATGGGGTAGAAGGGGAATTCTCAAAGAAAATGGGAAGAAATTGGTAAGAAAACAATGGATTGGCTGGCTATTATAAATGGTGTTTGCCCCATGAGACACCTCCAAAATTTAGTGAGAATCTGCTATCAGACTGGAATGGAGAAAAAAAAAAAAAAAACAAACAAAAAACAAGCTAACTCAGAGCAGGCCCTAAATTTCTTGTAATAGGCAAGAATACTCCCTGGAAATGTCCCACATTCATTGAATACAAAATAATTGTCTGCATTAATGAGGCTTTCCCAGCCTGGGTCTAGGAAACAAAAGCTGTTTCTCTGTGGTTTTGCCCATTTGCTTTCTTTCTTTTTTCTTCCTTGTTATCCAGGCAAGGATCCTTTGTTTGCAAGTGCCTGTCAGCCAACTGCTAATGTCAAGGCAAACAGAAATACAGATGTTTGCTACACCACAGATGCTCTGCATGTGCCAGTGCTGACAAAATTGTATCAGAGAGCACAGCAGTGCTCAAGGTCTCTCTACTGGCCCTGCAGTCCCAACGCGCACATTTTTAACCACCCCTTACCTCAAACCGTGGCAGGAATGTGATTTGGGTCGAGGCTCCTCCCAAGTCCAGAGTCCCAACAGTATGCTGGTTCTGGCCAGTCAGCTGCCCTGCAAACAACACCATGCTCAGAACAACCCCACGTGCAAAATACTGCATGAATGTTCAGGCAGCCACCAAATTATCACATTATCACAGGAATACAGGAAAACTGAGCTGGCTTCCAGAGACCAAAAACATCACAGAGAAAAGGTAGGCAAACAGAAGGTATTACAAAAAGATCCACAAGACTTTCTTTCTTGACTCCAATTTCACCTTCAAAAATGATCAAACCAGATAAATCTCTAGGCATCCAGCAAAAGCTGAAAGTAAGAGACAAAGTATCTCCTGCAGAAGACTGTCAGGGGGACTACGTAAGTTCTGTAACCACAATACAGCTGGTCAAGAGCAGTAGGAGAGGAAAGACAGCAGGAGCAGAACTAGCTGTTACCAATTCTCTTCACCCAGAGCAGCTTTTTTGCTTGCTCATGTATCTACTGGAGTACTGAGTTCCTTTTCCCTTTGCTAGATTGCATTTCCAGAACTCCCCAGAGGGCTAAAGCACCAGTGCATTCCCTGCTACACCATTTTACTCGCGTGGTTCATGTTGGGATAAATAATATTTAAAACTTTGTTTCCCACCTTCTAACAGATTAGCTGTACTGCTCCCCTACATACATGAGAGACCCCAGCCTGCCAGTGCCTCCCAGTCCTGAGTAAATCCTGGCACCTTCTGGATTAAGATGCCTCCTTCTTACTACAGGTGTGGCTCACCCTCTGGAACACAGTCTGGACAAGACAATCCACTGCTTTAGCACTGGTGCTACAGGGGGGAAGATGAGGAGGACATGGCAACCTCACCTCTGCAGAAGAGATTCAAGTTCATATTTAGAGAGAAGTTATACAGAATTGACTACCTGTCAAAAAGTTCACAGTGATCCAGGCTAAAACTCCTGCAAAGAGTGAAAAAGGAAAAGTCACCACTGAATACTCCCACAGCCTCCTGCCCACCATTACCACCCCTCTGCACGTTGTTTATTTACCTGGAAACCATTACTAACTTAACACAACCACCCCACACTTCAGAAATTAATTCAAACATAATTAAGTGGTACGATGCATTATTGAGTCAATAAAATCTCTTAAACTGGGATGGGTAGAATGTTTGCTATGCCTGTGCAAGTGCAGCATGCACGACCTATGTCTGTTACCCAAAAAATATACAAAGAAGTAATGAGCTGACACAATGCACAAGTTTCCGTGGGCACTTTTTTCACTCAGCATTTCAATTTCTACTCTGAAAATTCCATACACACCACCGCGTTTTAATCTTGTGATTTCTGTAATTACACTACAGATGGAGTGGCAACCAGCAAAACACAAACAACTGCTCTGACCAGCAGCTTGCTTGACACTGGCACCCAAGCACAGGCAAACATGGGACAGTAGAAGAGGTGGGGTTTTAAAATAAACCTTGGCAAGCTACACTGTGCTCTGCTATGCCTCATGGGTCCTGCTGCCTGTCAGCACAACACTTCTCCCTGCTACTCAATTCACCCATCAGTCCTAGCACAGCACAATACTTCATCAAATACTTGCAGACTTTATGTTACTTCTCCTTTTCTCCTGGCCCATGCGGACAGGTTTTGCTCTTCAATCTTCCTCCATTTAGTTGTTCTTAAAGTGTCATGACAATTATTTTTGCTTTCCTTGAACACCTTCCAAACTGGCAGTATATCTGCCATAATGAAGTGTTCAGAACAGAGTGTTACATCACAGGTGGCTCTTTCCAGGCATCCATACAGAAGGATTATTACCTGACTCTTCTCCAAGGTATGTCTGGATATGTAGCCAAAATGTTAGTGGTCTGTTCTGTACTGCAAAATCATCCCTCACTACAAACATACAAGATATTTCACTCTTTCTTGTATTTTATGTTACTTCCTTTGCTACTTTACTAGCTGCTTTTTTAAAAAACGATATATTTTATTATTAATCTATTTTTAATACTTGCCAATTATCCTTCATTCTCCTCTAATATTCATAATACTTTCAACTCTAACCCACAAATTGATGAGCTAATCATAATAGGTTATTTTTAATTATTATATTGTAGAATTTACAAGGCACTTCCCATAAGCTTCCTAGCTTGCTATACACTGCCATGTACCTTTTCAGAGCTGGACACCAACTCTTTTTCCACCTGTTCCAGGAGCAGACTTCAGCTGGTTAACCTGCATACTTATTCCTGAGACAAGATTCTGTTCTGGAACCTCAGAAGGCTTCAGATGAACCTTTCTCCAGCTAACTCATAAATCTCTTTGTGTAACTGCATCTGTATCCTAACAGATAATCAAGCAATCAACACCATCTAGGAAAAGCCTGGTTTCTAACATTCTACTTTTTCCCCTCATTTTAGTAAGCATTTCTCTTTCCATCTCACATTCAAAAGACATCTCTCTCTTTCCCCCATTTCTCTTTGCTTTCACTTTTTCCTCCTAAAACGTACCTTCATGAGACCCATCCATGATGCTAACACTGTCCTCTGGAACAAGAAATGGTGATTCCTCAAAGACTTCTCTGACCTGAAGAAATAAATAAAGATTAGATTCCTTGGTCTTAAAAGTCTTGTTCTCCTCTGAGGGTGACTGAGAAAGTTTTTCAGGAAAAATTTTTTCACTGTGAGGGTGCCGGAGCACTGGAACAGGCTGCCCAGAGGGGTTGTGGAGTCTCCTTCACTGGAGTCATTCAAAACCCGCCTGGGCGCATTCCTGTGTGATGTACTCTAGGTGATCCTGCTCTGGCAGGGGGGTTGGACTAGATGATCTTTCGAGGTCCCTTCCAACCCCTATGATTCTATGATTCTATGAAGTTTTCTTTTTCACAGTAGTACAAAATAAGACAAGTGTGTAGCGTAGACAATATTCTTCTTCTTTCAAGGGCCAGGAAAGAAACAAGTATTGTAGGTCTCTTTTCCCATGCCTTCTATCCACACCAAGACAGAGGATTTCAAGACCATACCAGAAAGTCTGTAAAGTCTGTGAGTTTCATGATATCATTGGATTACAGTCACTTTTCATAGCTGAAATTCTCTTATGCTACATAGAATGGAGTCATGAAAGATGAAACAGAGAAAGCAATACTAGTGCATTCAAAATATTTTAGTATTACCTCTAGAAGCAGAGCCTGGGCTTTCTCCTCTGAAAGCAAGCGCAGTCCAGCTGTGGCTTTTAACACTACTGGGGTCTTCTTCCAGAGGTGAGGTGGCACAGCATCTATGGCCATGTCTAGCAATCTTTTGACAGTTTCAGCACCCTAAAAGAAAAAAAAATACGTTTTTCTTATGGTTTCCTCCTACAGGCCATCAGAAAATAGACCTCCCAATTCCCCCTCAACACTAGTGAAACCAGTATTCAATAGCAGAAGATACTTCAGCCACACCCAAGGTAAGTACAAAAACTGTGCTAGACATTTCGTTAGAACCTTAAAGACAATGTCAGTGACGTATCTTAGGTGAGAGAAATGTCATTGTTTGTAGAAAATATTTTTTGGAAAGAACGGAGGGAGGTGAGTGAACTGATTACCCGACAAACAAAAATATCTTGCAGTGAAGCTAAGGGGTGCAATTACTCACTGAAGCTGGGAAGGTCAGGAGGAATGTCTTTAGATTTTACTAAATGCAATACACAAATTCCACGGGTGTCCATAGCAAGTAGTGTAATTAAAATGCCAGCTGTAGAATGGTTACCACAGCAGGTACGGGCATCACTGCAGGGCTCTCAACTATTTACACTGCTCTAACAATTACAGTTTGGCATTAGCAACAAACGTTCTCCTGTGAAAGTTCTAAAAACTTCTTTTGGGGTGAATTTTTCTCTCCTACCCAACAAACAATACTACTTAGTGAAATCATGGGAGACTTCAAAGTTGATAAAAAAAAACACCAAAATGCATTCACTCTTTCATGAAGTTGTATACCCAAATTTCTGTAGCACTGGATGCAACAGAGCAAACTGAGAAACCTGGAACTCCCACTGTGCTAGGCCCCCAATTCCAAGACTGCTAAAGCACACAAGGTGGAGTATCTAATCTATCATTCCTCTGACACCTCCTTTAGCTCGTCAAAGAGCTTACTGTCAGCACAGGGTATCTGGAAAGTGGCAGCTTACTTCAGGACTGGCCCTGTGTATCACAACAACAGGATTATTTTAGTTCTCTCTGCTCTGCTGTTAATTTCTGATTCCAGATACAACAGAGTAGTACAAAACAAGTGTACTGTGCATGAATTCATGGCCACCCGTGTTTGAAAATAAAGAGGATGGCACCTCGCTCCAATTTCTTAGCCAAATTATACATTTATATGTTAGTTAATACCTCTGATTGTGGAAGATGAAACTGTCCAACTGTGTTTTGAAAAACTCCATACATAAACAACAGAAGTCCTGAGGCAGTAGGAGAGTAACTGCCTGTACCTAGATCATTATTCAGCTGAAACTGTAATCAAATATTCAAACCAAGCATGACTGAACTGAATCCTACCTATTATTGAGCACTGGCTTCCAAGTCATGGTTCCAAAGATAACAGAAAAGAATCAAAACAAAAAAAATATTGGAAGTCTGATGATACACGCAGAGAATACACTTAGAGGAGTATTAAGGACTAACTTAACCTGCTACGTACCTATTTCTAAGTACTTTATTCTTCCCCTTCTCCATAATTTATTAAGAAATATTAACTTTCATAGATCTAACTATACATACCAAAAAATGAAACATTTTTAGGAGTCTTAAACCCTTACTTCTAAATTAAACACATCAAAACAAAACATGCCCTTTTGAACTGTGACCAGCACTGAAAATTTCAACCAAAGGCGAAAATGGAGAAAATTCTTAGTACATGATACAGGTGTATATATTTACTCATATTTGGGGTAGTTATAGAGGAAATAAACACTGAATATGGATGCTGCTAGAGCAAAAAAATCACTTTGAAATTCTCAAAGACATATATTTTATTTATAGATACAATTTAAGCAATTAAGCCATTGTTCCATTGATAAAATGTGTAAAACAACAACACCCATTTCACTGTGTAGAAATTAACTCACAGAAGTACAGGAACAAATTTAGAGAGGCAACAGTAGAACTTTTACATTTTCTTTTGACTCTGTGCAACTACAATTAATAATACTTGAACTGACTGGTAGAGTCCCACTGATACTAGCAGAAGCAAGACCAACTAACTCACAGAGAATGAAGGAGAGCCTTACCTTTTCAGGCTGATCAGCATATGCAGATAGACCTGGCTTCACAGATTCAAAGATTTCCCCTTCCAACTCTGGAAGGTTCTCTGCACAAATGAAATATTACACGAAACAGTCAACAACACAAATCTTTCTCTTTAGTGGCCTGCAACCCCTGTAAAGTGACTATCCTTGATTTCTCCTTGCAGAGAGCACTATTCCTTGCCTAAAACAAGCACTGCTCCTTTACTTCAGGAACATATTTAGCAGAATGTTGCCCTTGTGTCCTCCAAATTCACAGTACTGACAACATACTGCTATAGTTAGAAGCATGTTCATTGTGCATTCGTGAACTACGATGAGTTACAGTAATGTAGTATGATTGTTGCCTAATCTTAATAAAATTTAGTTCCCTCTATATCCCCAGGCTAATTGTGAAATATTAATTCATATTAAGACACGCACGGTCAACTCCCAATTAACCTCAGGTGATTCATCCAACTCACAAAACACAGAACAGAGGGGACTGGGCTCAAGCACTTGCCTGCAAAGCCAAACAAGTGTGACTGTTGAGGCACAAGCCTCTTTCCAGTCCAATGAGACATTCCTTTAAACAGCCGCATACATGAAAAATCTTTGGAAACTCAGTACTCTCCAGTATACTCAGAATTAAAACTCTGAGTTCAAAAAAATATAGAAAAAAGCTACTTTCACAGCAAAACACCACCACAAATGGAAAATAATCATCTGCTAGAGGTGTATTTGAAGGATAAACTGTACAAATCTTCAGTTGTTCCCAAATGCCGTGTTGGAAAAACAAAAAAAAAAAATCTCTTTTGGGAATTTGGAACCTAAGCTGACATACTCAAAGTGCACAGACTGACATGGGGCCTTACCTGGGCTCTTCTGCACAAAGGTGTAAATGTGAATCCGGGTTCCAGTGCTCCCTGCGTCAAACATTATGCCGTAAAAAGTGTTGGCTTTGGCATTTATAGGGCACGTGTTAGGTGGAAAGAAATCCTGAAACCACATCTCCTTGTTTGAATGGGAAAGAACAAAGGACAAAGAGGAAAATGCCAATGCTATAAGGATGGGAAGTCTAGAAGATGCCATCTTGCCAGGACCCCTCGAGGCAGTCAAACACAGATCAGCAATCACAGAGCTGCTGTAGGTCCTGCAGAGAAAAAAAAGAAGGAATGGAAATCACCAAGAGCCCTCTCCTTTAAAAGTCTGCAGAAAACCAAACCAAAACCAAACCAAAAAAACAATCTGTACACACATTTTCTGCCCTTTAGATGCTTTTCAACACCTCATCAAAAAGACAGGATTCATTTCACTTAGTGCTACAAGTACATCTAAGTGATTTGTTCTTTCAGAGTAAAGGTTTCTCCATTTCCCAAATGCAGAAGAGTTTAAGTAGGTTTTCCCCCAGTATTTCTAGTTTTGACTTTATTCATTTTTTTCTCTGATTTGGCTTGAAGGTTCTCAACATTTAGAGGCCCAAGAACTTCCAAATAGCCCCAATATTATCTGAAAAGAAGCATCACCAAAGGGGAGCTCAGAGCAGAACCACTCTACCCTGACATTTACACACTTGAGATGCTGTGGCAGAACAGATGTGTTTTCAGAGTTGCAAACAAAGAGAATTTCATCTCAGGCTAAGAACAGCTGCTGGGAGAGATCAGTGCACAGAGAGTGAAGGCACATCCTTCCAGCAGCATCCTTGACCCCAGGAGAAGCCTGTGCTGCACAAGAGGACTGAACTGTAATGTGCACTTGGGCTCTAAGGTGCACTTGGTCTCTGCCTTTCAGTATTTTTCATACTTTTCTTTTCTGTTTTCATTTTGGTTTTTCACCATTTTCTCCTGACACAGTTTGCATTTTCAAAATAACAAAACCAAACCAGTAAACTCCCACCACACCTTCATACCTAGACCAGTTGCCCTGAACATGCAGGTTGCTTACATAGCTTCTAACAACAGGTTCAGTGAGACAAGGCCCCAAAGCTGACACAGTACTGGATGCCAAGATACAACTACACCTCCTTTCTGTTAACACATATCTCTTTGCATATATTCTTCCTAAGACATGCTAATAAAGGAAAGATATGGGCATAGAAATGACAGGGTATACTTGGTACCCAAGTAAAAAGGAGGAGAATACACAGCTGTCTTTGCTATTTGCATTTTGACAGCAGAAAAAAGCATGTGGCCAGATGCCCCACTATATGCAGCACAGCCTGCACTGGCACACACACAGGGCACGCAGCGTACAGGAGGTGCAGACAGCTCCTCACCATTCTCCAGGCACTGGGGAACACAGCCATCTGCCTACAGCACTGCAGATTCTACTTCATACACGGGGTCATCTGCTCTGCCCCAGACCCTCACCCACCTCTAGCCCTTACATTTGACTGTCTTTTAGCAATCTGATCAACTCCACTATATTCATTCCCTTGAAATCTTTGCTATCGCTATCCTACATTTATTCATTCCTAAACCTAACCCCTCTCCCCCTGCTTTCTATGTGAACCTGACATAGCCTCTATTGCCACACACCCTTCTCCCACGCCCAAAGAACTCACTTACCCTCCACTACCTTTTATCTCAGTTTTAGCCCTTGTAAACTTTTATTACTTCCATCCTTCACCTTTGTCCCCAGTTACAACAAAGTGAGATTAACTTTTACCTATTCTCAGTAAGCAATGTCACACTGGGTCATTCCTCGAGTATCTAGCTCACTCAAGCAGTCATCTGTCTCTAGTGCAAACAAAATTTGTAGCCTACTGCAGAAGGGTAACCTTGCCTGTCTGCTGTGGCCTTCATATGGATCCTGTTCCTAGTAAATGCAGAGAGCAGTGGGCAGAAGCACAAGCTCTTGATCCTCTCTGCCTTAGAAGCACACTCTGAGAAGCGGAAGAAGTGACTTTATGGTTCCACACACAGGCAACAGACCTGGCCACTCTGTGTCAGATCAGCTCCAACTGTAACAGTTTCTAAAGCATTCACATTTTATCTGGAAATGAGTAAAAACTTAATTCTAACCTGTGACAACTTATAAGTCCTATACTGGCCAGAATTCAAGAAAACTACTGAACTGTTTGGCAGGTTCCCAGCTATGGATTTGTACTACAGTGCATCTGGCATTACCCATATTTGCTTCACCACAGCAAGGAGGCCCACTGAAAATCCAAGAAGCTGTGCTGTTTAACAGAACGTCAGGAGCATTAGTGAGTGCCACCTTCCAGCTGCTCAGCAGAGGTGTTGTTATTACCCTGCAATGTAAGGATTTAGCTTACTGAACCGTCACATCTGCAACACAAGCACCTGCTTTAAGAACAAACTCCAGAGTCCTATTACAAACAGCACATGTGACACTTACGCAAGCCTCAGAATCTCCAATGATCTGAAAATATCTGAGCAACTGCCATCACTAACACACGCTTTTCTTGACAGATTTACTAGTGGACGAGCCTCAGCCTCCCATGAAACACTCCCTCACTAAACTTCTCCTCTCTAACCCTTCTCAAACATCCACCACTGTTTTGTGCTTCCATTCCCTACTTCTCCCCTGACTTTTTTCCCTTCCCCCTTTATATTCATAAAGAAAAAATACAAATCAAACAACCAAATTCCAAATACAACCACCTTGGGATTTGATTCCTATCCACCTTCATTCAGAGTGAAAGAAGCACATTGGGGCTCTTCAATGAGAGGTGAAGACCATTTAATCAGCCACACTAGCAAAACAGTCTCCAGAAGAAGCATAAAAATAGATCAGTGGAGTAAGAAATCAGAGATGAGAGAGGGAAACTGGCAGAGCATAACAGAAATGGCAATGGAAAAGGAATTTGGAACGAGAGGGTCAGAAGAAAGAATAAAAGAAAAAAAAATAGGGTAGAGATAGACAAGAGGTTAGTTACTGAGGAGGAAAATTACTTCCAGCACAGTTCCAGAACAACTTTAAATCCTCGCTGCTATCAGAATACAACAGGATGGATAAAGTGAACAACAAACACAAAGGAGAAAACAGGGTAACAGTAATATGAGCACAAGTTAATTAACACAAACAAGCCGTTCAAGAGGTAAACCGCACAAATCACCATCACTAGGCTCCAGTTCCTGCCTTTATAAATGAACAGCAGTAATCAGCATCATTCATGAATACACAGGGCACACACCTGAAGCAGGCTGGAAGTGACAGCTCTTCCACTCCAGATCCCTAACGCAAACCACTTCGGAGCCCTGCGACAAGAGCCACTGCGCCCACACTTCTGGTCTTCACCCTCCCTGCCAGCCAGCGGGCGTGGGCAACGTATCAGGGGAATTATAAGGTCATGGAGGCACACAAAACGTCAGTCGAGTTGCTCTACACAAACCTGTGTTTATCATTACTCAATACAAGCAGTGAAACATGCTCAGGTAATTACATGAGACAAATTTCAAGAAGCTGAAAGTTAACAGAGTTCAACAAGTCAGTAAAACATTTACACCAATGTTACAGTTGACCTCAACAGCACTGTCCTCAGTCCAGTGGCACCAGGTAGAACACTCATTTCCCAACACAGAGACACACATCTAAATATCATCTGCATAGGACAGATTTTAGATACCAAACCAAGAAGTTGAAGCACATCCAACATAAAGATCTGGGAGCTACACAGACGGTACAATGAAAAAGTACTGGGATGCTGCACAGAGACTGCCAGGACTGAAAGCACAACTAGGAAGAAAAAAAGAAACAACCCCCCCAGTCAAACTCTCCTTAAACAACAAAAGTAAAACCAGTGTCAGAATATTAATAAGAAATCCTAAGACAGCAAAACACAATTTTACTTGGTGTTCACCATGTGCAGAAAATGCTGGTAATTTCCAAGACAAGAAAGTCTCACTCACATTCTTGAACATTTGTGACACAAGAACATGCAAAACCTAAAACACAGCAACACCAAGCATCTCCATGTAGTAAGGAACCTCTCTGGTCTGAGGGTATGGAAAAGCAGCATATGTGAGATACACAAGAACTTCCTTTCTGTTTCCTAAAATATTACTGGAAATATTTGGATGTAAAGAAAAACTAATTATGAATATGTATGATATATAAATATGTAGGCAAATAGTTTAGGAAATAGATTAATTATGTAATCCAGTTCATACTGTTATTTATTGCTCAAGCACACCAAAAATCATTGAGAATGGAAAGTCTATTTTCTGCACTGAAACAGTAACAAAACCTATTTTCCAGATGAGCAGCTCTTATGGTAGCAAGATCTATTCCCAGATGAGCAGCTATTTTGCACTTAACACTCATGGCTAAACAAATGCATTTTTATCCTTTTTTTTTTTCCCCCCAGAAAGTTACTATATATTTTTCCAGACTTATTTTATAGAGATAAAAATATGCTTTCTTGGATTCCTTTGATAAAAATTTAAGTATAAGATAAAAATTTTTTCCTAAGATAAAAATTTTAAGTGTTCTTAAAAGTACAAGGCTTAAAAATCACAACAGAGTAACTGAATTTATTGGCAGAATTTCTCAGCGTTTCCGTAAAAGTAATGGCCCGATATTCTTTGCACAGACATATTTTGGGTAAAATTCTGGATCGAGAGCTTTAAACGCTATGGAAAATAACCCCCACAGCACCGACTCACAAACGCGTTATCAGTAGTTTTAATCTTTTCCCCGCTCTGAGGTTCCACATAACACACTATCTATTTATTCACCTTCCCGGCCAAGCGGGCTTGCGATTTTCCTATTGAATTGGAGCCCGGAGGGTGTCCGAGCGGCGGCGGTGACGCTCCAGCGGTGTGCCACCGAGCGTCCCGCACGGCGCCGGCACG